AAATAAGGGTGTCCCCGACGTCGCCCTCGTTCCTCAGGCCCTTCGCTTAGCCACCCTACGGCTGCGGCCAGCGAGCACTCGGTCCTCCCGGCTCCGGCGCCGCTCTAGCCCAGCCTCGCCTCTCGACTGCTTTCCGCCCGCCGACGCCTTCGCTAGACGCAGGTGCGCGCCGTGCGTCGTGACGTCGCAGGCGGCGTCGCTATAAGAGCGCGGCCGGGGTGCGCGTGCTTCTCTTTCCCGGTGCCCCGGCGTCCGCAGGTCTGGCGGTGGAGCAGGTTTTCTAGCGGGGTCTGGGCGGACGTGCGTGTGCCGGGCAGCCCTCGCGGCCTCTGCTGAGGATGCCGAAGACCTAGGGATGGAGCGGGGCGGCCGAGCGGACGTGCCGGGGGTGATGTCGGCGTTTTCAGCCGCAGGGCGGTTCTCGTGAGCGAGCGGGAGCTGGGAGGGCGCGCGTGGGCCCAGCTTTTCCTCTCGCGCAGGCGCAGACAGGCAAGGGGAGCCACCATGCCCGTAGCCCGGAGCTGGGTTTGTCGCAAAACCTATGTGACCCCGCGGAGACCCTTCGAGAAATCTCGCCTCGACCAAGAGCTGAAGCTGATCGGTGAGTGACCCCGGCGGTTCCGGCTCCCGGAGCCTAAGGAAACCACGCGGGCGAGCTCCCACGTGCTCGGCTGGCCGTGTCCTTCGGTGTCTCATCCGCACCCGCAAGTTCGGCACTAGCTCGTGGGTTAGGGAGCTCCCCTGTGTCCCGAGCCTCCCAGCTCGGTCTTTGTGCCCGGCGGTGGCGCTCACCTTCCCTGCTCGGCTCCCTCCGTATGCAGGCGAGTATGGGCTCCGGAACAAACGCGAGGTGTGGAGAGTCAAATTTACCCTGGCCAAGATCCGCAAGGCCGCCCGCGAGCTGCTGACGCTGGACGAGAAGGACCCGCGGCGTCTGTTCGAAGGTGGGTGGGCAGCCCAGGCAGAGGGTGGGCCGGGCTGTGAGGGCGCCTTCCAGGCCTGCGTGGTGATGAGGTGCGGGTGAAGAAGGGAGCCAGCCTTCCATCTTTGCATGTAAGCGGGTGGTGGAATTAGGAAAGGGTCTTCTGGATTCGATGCTTTACCCTGTTGGTTGGATGTGAGACGTGGGTCATGTTGGAGTTTGAGTTGACACGGGACCGCAGCTAATGGCGCCGTGTGTGTTTAGGCAGTGGGCTCTAGCTGTACGTGCTGGGGTACCGTGTATCCTTGTGTGTGTTAGTGGTAGGAATAAACGCGTGAAGTTTCTTGAATGTCCAATTTTCATAACTAAGTTTTGCCTATATAGTAATTGACCCTTCCCTGTCTTAAGAGATTTGTCATAAAATACGGTGTGTACAGAATGTGACCAATCAATCACCCCCCAGGGGGATGGTCACACCCCAGTCTCTTCTCTGGGCTCTTGGGCACACATGCACACGGTGACTTAAACCTGATCTAAGGTTTAATCCACCAGGTCTGGGACTTGAACTGTGGTCGACTGGGAGTCCAGCAACGTAACCATTAAGCCATTTGCTGGTCCCTCCTGTTCCTTTAAAGTTATCTGTGTGTGTGAATATATATATATATACACACATACATACATACATATATATATATAATTTTTTCAGGCTTTGATTTTTTTTTATGAGAGGATTTTGTTACAGGATGCATGTGCTAGCCAGAGAGAAAGCAAGAAATCACCTGGGGCGGGGGGATGGCCATGTCGCAATCTCTTCTCTTGGGATCTCGGACCTGCACACACATGCACCCAGCGTGAGTTTAAGCCACCAAGTCCGGGACTCAAACTGCAGTCGATTACATGGGAGTCCAGTGCCATAGCCATCACACCAACCGTTGGTCCCAGGCTTTGATATGTTTTATTGAAGCAAAATTCCAACAAAAGGGGGTTTTTATTTACAAAATTTTATGTTAGTGGGGACTGCTCACTCCACTTGGACCCAAGTGAGGATAACTGGTAAGCTCATTTGTGTATTTCCTTATTTTCAGTTTACTTACAAAAATGGTGTAACCATTATGCCATCTGCTGGTCCCTGATTTCTTATTTCTAAAGAGGCGTGAAGTGTCTGAGATGCAGAGGGATGCAGACCCACTCGTAGTTATGTTTGGATGTATTTTCGTACTGACGTTGGGCTGTGGGCGGTTTGATGCTCAGCACTGAGGTGGATGCAAAGGGCAGTCCTGTGGTGCAGCAGTAGATGCTGCACAGAGGAGCCCAAAGGGCAGTCCTGTGGTGCAGCAGTAGATGTGGCACAGAGGAGTAGCCCCACCTGGCCGAGCAGCTCCAGCCCCAGTCCTAGGGGTCTCACGCTGGGTTGTGCACACTGGAACCCAAGATCCTGACTGGACAAAGGGTTGTTCGACCAGGCCCCAGTAGGGGGTGATACCTCTTTCACGTATGCTCAGACCACTTCTGGCATTTAAAGTGAATACAGAAAAGGAAGCTGTATGAAGATGACGGGTGCTGCGAAAAGTGCGGTTTGTGTCTGCATTTTGCTCGTGAGCTTCTGGCAGCCTGCCTACTCCTAGCTCCCTGCTAGGACAGCTCCGTCTTTTTGGCTAGTGTTCCTCGAACTTACCTCGGCCAGTGATGGTGCCAGAGCTGTTGGAAGTGCCTAGTGTGGGTCACTTGGTGAAGGTTCCTCAGATTGTGCTTCACCATAACTAGATAACCAGAACCAGATATCTTTATCCTTTCTAAAAAGTAATTTTTTTTTTGACCCAGGATTGTGGGGGCCATCTAGAATAGTGGTGAGGAGCTGTGGGTTTGGACAGTGGGCATCAAGTGGCCTAGTCCTCTGAGCCTCAGGTTGTTGGATGGAAGGTAGTAGCTGACATCTCTTGGATAGGCAAGGTCTTAAGAAAGCGCATGGAGGAACCAGCAGTTGGCATAAAGACTATGTTGCTGGACTCCCATGTAGTCATTTGCAGTTTGAGTCCTGGACCCAGAATCCAGTGGCTTAAGCTCACACCGAGCACGTGTGCATGCATGCCCAAGATCCTGAGAGAGGAGAATGGAAGAGAAGGAATTGTAGCGTGGCCATCCCCCCCTGGGGGGTGATTTCTCACTTTCTGTCTTTCTGGTGAGTGCACATGCCCTATAGCAAAAAAAAAATCTCTCCAGAAAAAAAAAAAAGCTCATGGGGAATAAAAGTTAAATAAGTAATTTAAAAATATTTAGAAAGGGGGGGCCCAGCGGGTGGTGTGGTGGGGTGCTGGACACTCCCACATGGCCAACCACTTGGTGGCTTGCTTTCTCACTTTCCCTCTCCCGCTCTCTGGTCAAATTAAATGAATGAATAAAAAAAAAATGTTAAAATTTTTTTTTTAAAAGAAAGCTAATGGGAAAGGCATGTTATGAACAATCTATGTATAGGTTTCAAAGTTTTTTGTACGTTTTATTGTGTGTGTGTGTGTTTGTGTGTTTTCTGGTGGGAAATCTCATAGTGGAAGGATAAAATAATTTATACTCGGCCAGAAAATGCCTAGTTTTGGATATGTCTTCTCAGCCTTAAAAGGTGATCTCATTTTTTAATTTGCTGTAGGGCACATGTGCAAAACAGAGAAACAGAGAAAGTGAGAAAGCAAGCCGCCATGTCTGGGACTCATTGTGGTCGGCCATGTGGGAGTCCAGCACCTCAACTACATGCCTCCTGCTCCCCACCTTTTTTTTTTTTTTTTAAGAGGTTTTTGTTCTATGGTGCGAGTGCTCTCCAAAGTTAGACAAAGTGAGAAATCATCCCCCAGGAGGATAGCCATGCTGCAGTCTTTTCTCTTCTGTTCTCCTTGGGATTTTGGGCACACACATGCCCAGAGTGAGTTTTAAGCTGCTGGGTCCAGATCTTGAACCACAGTCCACATAACCATTACTCCATCTGCTTGTCCCCAGGAAGGTAGGTCTTAATCCACTATGCTTTTAACAGGTAGTTGTCATGACAGCGTTTAGATTTTTGCAGACTGAGTTGTTGGGAGGATTCTCATTTCCTCAGCTAACAGCACTAAACAAGGAAGGTTCTGCTCTCAGATGAGAATACCTGCCATCTGCCCTCTTTGCTAAGAGGGAGGACGGTCACAGGCTGCTTAGGGTGGCTTAGAGGAACTGTGTGAATCACAGTGGGTAGTGGCCAGCAAGTCCTAGATTGAGCTGGCTGTTCCCACGGAACTGTATCCACCCCCACAAGGAGCTGGGGGCAAGGATCAAACCTGAGAGTTCAAGGTTGGTCAGAACCTTGAATCAGTATTTCTTCCCGGACTCCAGGCAATGCCTTGCTCCGGCGCCTTGTGCGCATCGGGGTGCTGGATGAGGGCAAGATGAAGCTGGATTACATCCTGGGCCTGAAGATCGAGGATTTCTTGGAGAGGCGCCTGCAGACCCAGGTCTTCAAGCTGGGCCTGGCCAAGTCCATCCACCATGCCCGGGTGCTGATTCGCCAGCGCCACATCAGGTACCCCGTCCTCTGGGCCTCCACCCCCGTCCCCTCTGATGGGTGCCCTCACTAAACCTACTGTCCCTGTCTCTGTGCAGCCTTGGAGCTGGCAAAGCAGTGAGCCTGCCTTGAGGGTACAGATTCACAAAGCGCTTGTAGGGGCCTGAGGTGGCGGCCTCTCCCATAGCCCAGCGCAAGGGTCACTGCGGCTTGAGCCGTACACCTTGCGAAGGCCTCTGCCAGGCATGCAGGCAGCTGGACAGGTAACCGTTGGTGTCCCCAGAGGAGGTTGAGAACTGGGCCTCAGCTGCTCAGGTGGTTCAGTGCTGCCGGACTCACTTGTCCTTTCCAGACCCTGGTCACTTGTGCGTTCTGACACTTCTGACGGTGTCCACTGCAGTCTGGGGTCTGGTGCTCAGGTGCCAGGGACTGCAGGAATCGTCTAGCTGGGGCCGGGTGGCAGCTGGTGCAGTGGGGAGGCCAGGCAGAGGCTCATGGGTGTTTACTTGGTGCTTGGTTTGCCCCTCTGTGAGATGGGCACCTTTCGGGGAAGGCTGTGAGTGAGCAGGCGAGATGTTTGCAGCCCTCTGCCCCACACTGGCCCTGCAACTCATGTGTCTCACAAATGGGCTCATAGACCCATCTCAGCTTGTCGCTTGTGGACGATGCGCTGCCCACACAGTGCTGAGGCTCAGTAGCAGGCACAGTGCCACGTTCGGAAATCAGTCTTGGGCTCACACCACCGTGCCATTTGGTGGTCTTATGTGGGTCACTTCTCCCTTTGTGAAATGTGGATGAGAACTTACAGCATTTGTGCGGAGGAGCTGGGGTGGGGTCCTGCTGCCCTCCTGGCCTCCAGCCAGTGCAGCTGCAGCACCCAGTGTGGACTGCAGGGCATGAGGGGGAGAGGGTGTCTTGTCCTGAGTGAGGTCCCCTCACTGCTGTCCCTCCCGCCAGGGTGCGCAAGCAGGTGGTGAACATCCCGTCCTTCATCGTACGCCTGGACTCACAGAAGCACATCGACTTCTCGCTGCGCTCTCCGTACGGAGGTGGCCGTCCAGGCCGTGTGAAGAGGAAGAACGCCAAGAAGGGCCAGGGCGGGGCTGGAGCTGGTGATGATGAAGAGGAGGATTAAGCCCACCCCTGTTCTCCTGGCTCCTGGGTTCTGGGTTTCCAGTCAGAATAAACCAGGGTCAGCATTTTCTGATGGTGTAGGGTGTGGTGTTCCTCTCCTGGTGCTGGCCCTTCTCCCCACCCTGCACGTACGGGCTCTGGGAACAGCACATGCTGAGTCCTAGAGCTGGCACCGGAGCCAGCTCCCCGCACTACGTAGTGCCTGGCGTGGGAGGTGCCAGGGCAGCTCTGTTGGTTCTGACTCGGGAACACGACTGAGCGCCTCAGGAACACAACTGAGCGTGGCCTTGCCCTCTGAGGGCCAGCCATTCACTGTCATGTGGAGGAGGGGACATGTTGGGAGGGACCAGAAGGGAATCCAGGGGAATAAGCAAGCCCTTTGCATAGGGCATGGGGGAGGGCCTTTGGCAGAGGAGGAGCAGGTAGAGGTCAAGGCTGCCTGCACTCCCAGCCCTTTGACTCGGCCCTGGCAACATGCCGTAGGAAGGCCAGGGTGAGAGCCATGCTGACCCTGTGGACACAGCCCTTTCTCACTGTCTCTCTGGTCAAGATGGGCCGTGGTCATGGTTGCACTTTGCGGGAGCACTGCAGGCAGGCCCACATTCGTTAGGGTGTGGCTGCTGGTGGGGGCTGGTATTAGACGTGGCTCTGGGGAGTGGGCATAGCCACTTCCCAGATGGGAGGTGGGATTTCAGGAGCCTCGCCCCACTCCCCTTGTCCTGCATTTGGTGTTGCGGAATCAGGAAGGAGGCAGGTTCCCTTTTCTCTGCATGGTCAAGCTGCTCAAGACTTGAGGACATAAGGTGGGGTTGAGCAACCTCCTTGGACCGCAGCCAGCTGCCTGCCATAGTCTGTCCCTGTGGGGACTTAGGGCTCATTGTCAAATGCCCACATGTGCCGTGACTAGCTCTATGTCGGACACCATTACTGTGAACCTTTAGAAAAGCCACCTCCGTTGTGGCTTCTTATTCTGCTGGATAGCAGACTCCAGTTGTCACTTGGGCAAGGGTGGGTTTGACAGCAGTTTCAGGGTGTTTTGGGGGTTGGCCAGGTCAATGGTGGGTGATAGTTTTGAAGCAGTCACTTTCCAGACGGTGTCTACTTCAGATCTCCAACTGGCTGGGGCCCTTCACTAAGTATCCATGGGGCAGCTCCTGTGCCCCCCAGGGACCCTGCTTCTCCATGAGTGTGAGATTTTGTTGTTGGGAGCTAGAGGGTGACTAGAGCAGGGTACAGGGTACACACTGGATGGGTTCATGTCCTGGGGTTCAAGTGGGGACTGAGGACGTGTGCAGGGTTGTGCTGGGGGTGCCTGAAGCTGGGGGGCTTCATTGTCAGGGCCCTGCTTTAGGGAGATGGTGGAGTGGTCTCCCTGATTCCATACTTGTTTCCTTTTGTAATTGGTTTTGGGGTTGGGGGAAGGGATGTGCATTGAGGTGCCTGTCCTGTGGACACTGCAGCTGGGACAAGTGATTGGGCCGCTTTGCCCTCAGGAGCAGTGATCCGCACTGTGTCCCACACGGTAGCTTGGTCCTTGCCGTTGCTGGGCTAATAGTGGGTTCATTGGCTCTCCGCTGGTTTTGTTCAGTGTGGTCTGGGGGAAAAGGAATAAGCTGTTAAGAGACAATGGTTGGAGTGTAGGGTAGGGGTGTTTGTCACTAGGGTGGCCTCCAGAGCTGGTTCTGAGAACTTGGGCTGCCCCGGGGTCAGGTCACCTGTCAGGTTTCCAGTCCACTCGTACTGAGCATGCAGCTCATTCCTGTTACATCAAGTGTGAGTGTGGAGTTGGGCTTAATAGGGAGCGCTACTGAGCTCTTTGGAACAATCAGGCTTTAAGGTTCCCTGTCTGCCCCTGTGCAGGTGCAGGTCCCCCTGACTGGTCCCTTTGTCAGCACACAGTTATCAGCCATAGCCTTCAAGCCTGCCAGCCTGACCTGTGCTGTTTTTTTTTTTATGGAGATTTTTTTGCTGTAGGGCACATGTGCTCATGGGAGAGACAGAATGTGAGAAATCACCCAACAATCCTTTCCATTCTCTTGGGATTTGGGACACGCAGACACACACACACGTGCCTCGTGTTAGTTTTAAGTGCTCATGGGAGAGACAGAATGTGAGAAATCACCCAACAATCCTTTCCATTCTCTTGGGATTTGGGACACACAGACACACACACACACGTGCCTCGTGTGAGTTTTAAGTCTATGGATCCAGGACTCAAACCATGGTCAACTATATGGGAGTCAAACAATGTCACCATTATGCCACCAGCTGGTCCCTTCATCTGTCCTTTTATTTTTTTAAAGAATTACTTAACTTTAAATTTTGACCAGAGAGGGACAGTGAGAAAGAAAGCAAGCTGCCAGGTCCAGGACTTGAATTATGATTGGCCATGTGGGAGTCCAGCGCCCTTAATCACCATGCCACCTGCTGGCCCAACTTTGCTTTTAACAACTGGATTGTCAAACAGACCAACTGGGGGCTCGCAGCAGACTTCAGAAAGGGGGAGGCCACTGCCAGAGAACCAGGGAGCTAAGGGGTGGAATGAAGGCCCTTGGATTGTTTGATTTTTGCTCTTGGACCGTTATGTCCATGTGCGCTGCAGTGAGAGAGAACCCCTCACCTTCACGACCTTGTGATACCACACAGTCTTCTTTCCTTGTGTTTCCTTCCCACTATAGTCCTGGGCTCACACTTGCTCCCTCCTGGCTTAGCCACTGGGGCTGAGATTTGAACCATGATCGACCACATGGGGTCTGACTCCCCCCCTCCCCCCTTAACCACTGTGCTGTGGGGCCCAACCCTCCACTGGATTTAATGAAGAGGATGAGAGCGCCCTGGTCAAGAACCCACCTGACCCTCCAGGTGTCAGGCTGTGTCTTTCATGATAGCAGATTAGGGAGGCAGGTCAAAGGGGCTTATCTTGCCATGATTTCTTGAGCTTTTTACAGGATAGAGGCCCAGAGAATGTTAGTGATTTGGCTAAGGCCACACAGTTAATGTGTCCTGCCTCACTCCCTAGTACAGAACTATGTCCAAGCAAGCCTTGCTCCACTGTACTCCATGTTCTCAGGGTCCCTTCACCCTGGCACAGCCTCTCCTTACAAGTTCTGGCCCTCAGCCAGTGAACTGGAGCTGGGAAGGGGGAGAAGTGCTAGAAGCATCCAGGAGTCGGCCTTGGAGGACAGTTCTAAATAAAAGCATGTTTTCATACTCATTTTGTAAGCTTGGAAAGTCCAGAATACCCTAAGTACTTTTGCATAAACTAACATTTAGTCTAGATTTTCTCCCACTGGGTTGTGCTGCCCCCCCTTTTTTTTCTAATTGCTGTGGGTGTGTATTCCTTGGAGACAGAAACCAGCCCCTCTTAGAGATGGCCATGTTCAATCATCACCACTCTCTGAGTTTGGGGCATGTATGCACATGTGCCTGGCATGTTTTCAAGCTACTGGGTCAAGGACTTGAACTGCAGTTGGCCTTGTGGGATCCAGGTGCCTTAACCACCGTGCCACTTGAAATAGTCAAAACTGACCTTTCTCAGGGCCAGCAGGTGGTATGGTGGTTAGGGCACTAGACCATGGTTCAAGTTCAGGACCTGGTGGCTTACTTCCCCTCTCCCCACCACCCACCACCCTGGTCAAAGTAAAATAAATGAATAAAATAATTTAAAAAGCCCTGACCTTTACCCATTTGTTTGGCTTCCCCTTGGCTTTTGCCCAGTATGAGTTTAAGCCGCCAGGTCTGGGATTCGAATTGCAGTTGACTACGTGGGAGTCCAGTGATGCAAGCCATTAATGCCACCTTCTGGTTCCTAAAACCTTTTTATTTTATTTTTACTTTTTTAAAGGTTCAAAGTCCTAAATTGAAGGGCTAAAACTATAGCCTTCAGGAGTAAACGTTTATGATGTTGGGTTTGGCAGTGGTTTCCTTTTCTTTTAGAAAGAGATTTTTATATAGGGCTTGTGTGCTTACCAGAGACACATAGACCGAGAAAATGAGAAATCACCCTCCTCTCAGGGGGGGTGGCCATGCTGTAACCTCTTGTCCATTCTCCTCTTGGGATTTTGGACACATACACACATGCCTGGCATGAGTTTCATGCTGCTGGGTCCAGGACTCAAACCATGGTCATTTGTGTGGGAGTCCAGCACCTTAACCACTACACCACCTGCTGGCCCCAGCTGTGGTTTCTTAAATATTAACAAAAGAAAGTAAACGAGCTTACAGTTGCAGTAACCTCCAACAATTTAGCCAAAAGTGAATATACATTACCAAAGGACTAAAAATCAGAAGAGACTGCAGAGCAGCAGGAAGAAGGATACAGCTACAGAGTGTGGCTCATCTCCCACATACCTCTGAACTCTCAGGTGTGTTAACTGGGTTCTGGAGAATCCCATCCTTCCTCCCTCTCACACAACTTCTGAACATCTGCTTTAGCCAAGATGGGCCGGAGACCACTGTAGGACTTCTGCTATCTCCTGTTTCAGATTTCATAGTTTTCTGAAGCATGTGGCACGCAATGTGTGCTGCATGACCCCTTCTCTCTCCCTCAGTTGAAACCCCACAGCTCAGCCCAGGTATATCTGTTCTTTAGAAATGGGGAGGCCTTTGAAATACTCAGTTTCAAAGACAATAGTGCAGGTTGCTGGGTGAGTGTCAGGGAAACAGATCTGCAGAGAGTTTGTGGATCACCTCTTCCCGCACGCCTCTGATTGCTCAGAGTTAACTCTAAGAAATTAGAAACATACAATCCATCAGATGACCAGAAACCACTGCAGAGGCACAAGAAATAAGAAAAACCAAGAAAATGTCTCTCTCATAAGGGAAAAGAACAAATCATCATCGTCCACAGATAATACAATGGAACTCATGGAAATACCACATAAAGAATTCAGAATATTCAGGACCAGCAGCTGGCATAATGGCTATGACACTGGACTCCCGTGTAGTCGACCAGTTTGAGTCGGGGACCCAGTGGCTTAAACTTATGTCGGGTACGTGTGTGCATGCCCAAAGATCCCAAGAGGAGAATGGAGAAGGGATTGTGGTGTGGCCATTCCCCTGGGGGGTGAT